CTCCCCTGGTAAAGCTGGGGTTTGCTCTGCGATGTGGGAATAATTCAGGAAAAGGACACGCCTAAGGGAGAAATGTAATGGGGGAGTGTCCTGTGGGGTCACATTTATTTTCCATTGGGGCAGATGGATTCATCTCTCTCCTATTTCAAATAGCATTTTTCGGTGTGAGTGTATGAAGTATAATTTCCTTCAGTAAGAAATCCATGCCCTCAGGAAGGAGTGGGAAGAGAGTTATATTTCCCCATTTAAGACATCCAAACCCTGGAAAGGCAGTGAGAGGCAGTCTTGATTATTACTATTATTTTAACTGAACTTCAGGGTCTTCAAACGTTAAATTTCCAGTCTGTCCCTAGATTTCCAATGTGGCTCAGCTATGAGGAACAGAAATGGGTGGAAAAAATCCCAGTCCTTCTAAGAGTTGCTCAAGGCACTTACACTGAGTCTTTTTTTTTTCCTGCTTTCAAATGACTCAGTTCTGTTTTGGCCAAAAATACAGGAACTGACTGAACTGTATGTATGCCTGTGCTGTGTGGAGAATATAGGAATTTCCTATAACATCTGAAAAATGTTCTTCTCGAGGCCTTAGTGCTGTATTGCTGCACTCATAGATGTTCAGAGGCATAATGACAGCCATAGTAGTCAATGAAGGGGAGTGGGAAACAGTGCTACATATCTAACTGGATTCAGATAAGTTTTTGCCTAGGCCAAAGCAAAGAGAGCTGCCTCTGGGCTTCACTCCCAGCGTTTTCACTTTGGTATTTTGCTAGGAAAACTTTGACCTGTGGCCAAAAAAGAGCAGTTAAAAATAGTACAGTTGTTCTGAAAAATGCATCAGGTTAATACTTAACCCCAGTAGACTTTTTCACACTCTCTGCTTTTATACTCAACAGCATGTTTCTTTTATTCTCTCGCCTCCCCTGCCTCGGACATAGATTAGATGCACTAAAAACTGTTGATGTTTCTAAAGAGAAATTGTAATTGCAAAATTGAGACTGGGCTGCTTAGCACTTGATTTTTTTTTTTTTTTTTTGTCATGTTTTGTACACCTACAATGTAGACCACTTCATGTAATACAGTGGACAAATTAGCAAACCATCAGAGAGTGTTAGCTGGATTGTAAGTGCATATTTTTTAAGGTAAAAGATATCACTTTGCTCTCTGCACTCTCTGTAAGTATTGTTTCAAAAATTAACAGTAAATAAAATATAATACTAAATCAATCACATTTCCTAGCTTGTGCATTCTACATGTCTATGTGTGAAACAATCATCTACCTCATTGTTTTAAATATTCTTACTTAGGGAATTTGCAATGTATTTCCTGTAAAAGCCTTTTCTTTTGGGCTTTGGTATTGTTGCTTTATGCTATTGGAGTTTAATTTTGTATTGGCATTCTGCTAGGCAGTCTGAGTATGAAAACATCATATGCAAATTGCAAAATTTACTTGTTTGCTAAACAGTTCACTTTCAGTGTGAATTATCATAAGTGGAAATGTGTTTTCAGTTAAAAAGTAGAAATACAGCGACAGAAACCAAGAGTCAGGGAAAACGTCTTAAAGAGACTAGCTGGAATGCCACTATTTCATCCTCCAAAAATAACATAACCAAAACTAAAAATGTGGAATGGAATTCAAAGTGGAATTCATATCCTTACACTGTAAAAAGTCATAAACAGCTGCTATTCTGCATTTTGTGTGCATGCTTTGTTTTTGGGAAGCCGTAAAAAGCAAAAAAGTAACTGTTAATCTACAGCACATGGTGCAAATGTGAAAGATGTGGAAAGCTGAGGTAATAAGCTGTCTTTCTGTAGATACCGGTTTCACTGCCTATCAAGAGATAATTTATTCAGTGGCTCTAAATGAAGAGACTTTCTTTGTGTACCTTCCTGACCACAGGATGGCTGACCACATCCATTCAGTTCTTTAGCAGGAGAATCTGTGAAGCCGAATACATTGATTGATTATTTTTCTGTCATCCCCTTTTGGGGCTCAAGAGAGACAGTCAGATTTTTTAAAGTATTTTTTGCTTTATTGTACATCTTAACACCTGTCTGTTTATGCCTGTGTTGAGCGTAATTGTTTGTGTTTGATTAAAATGTACCTTTGAAAAAGACACGCGGTCTCAGTTTAGAGGCATTAAGAGATGGAGAGCTCGCCATTTAATTTGTCCTGGTAGTTAGTTATGAAGGCAAAATTTTTCAAAAATGTAAACTGAAATGTGTGGCATGGTTATCACTATCCTTTTTCTCTAAATTAAAAAAAAAAATAGAGGACTTTCTGCTCTTCAGCATGGGTCAAAGGCATAGCCTGCACTTTGTGGGTTTCTTCTGGCTTTGGTCTGATGAAGAGGTGAGAAGGGGAATGCTAGAACTGTATACGCTGTCTATGATGGGTTTCAGCAAAGATGTCTACAAAGGGAAGTGGTTTTTGCAACCTTCTTTAGACATCCACAGAGTGCTCTTCTCATTGTATCATGCTGAAAGCCTGTGTTAGGTTGCCTATGGTAAGATAAATGACTTTTTTATTTGTCACAGCTTTCTGTGATACAATCTCTTTCTCTTTTTGGTCGTGCAACGTTGCATTAGTGGTTATGAAAACCTGTTTTGTGTATTATGTTTAGACTGTGCAGATCAGTTGGTAAAACTACTGTATTCTTATTATTGGCTCTTCTGCCAGTTAGTGTCATCCACTAATTTAATGAAGTGACATTTTTATGTGTACTGCATGTACACATTGATGATAGCGCTAAATGGTATTTGACCTTGTGTGATCCATAAGAAACCCTTCTATAAATACATTCCTACCGAATAGTTCCTAGTTGGCAGCTACATTTAAGAAGAGCTTAACGGTTCTCAAATACATTTGTGTAGTTATTCTTTTGCATATACGTTCTATCTGCAGTGTTAACTGAGTTGTTTTATGTAGTATTAAATACACCTTATTTGAGGGTGTATTGGTAAGTATTAGCTGAATGCTTCATGTGTTCTAAAACTAGAGCAGATAGCTCAACGTAGGCTGTGTAAAACTAATCCAGATCTCGACTTCCTCGCCATGTGTAATTGTATCACTTCAGCACATGCTGAACTCAACTGTAGAGTTTTATGGTGGTGACGAACAGCTCTGATAAATCTTATCATCCTCCTCCCTGCAGTTGTCTGCCTGGTCCTTTTGCTGGAGCTGCAGCCGAATGCAGTTTGCTGGAGAAGGGAACCCGGTGCCTGCCCTTGGTCTCCTTCAGTGCAAGCCTTAGGATTTTAGTGTTAAGCTTAAACCTTGGCATAACACTGGAGGTGTAAAGTATTGAGTATTTTCTGCCTGGTTGTGTCAGCCTTTGAAAGAAGGAGGTCTTAAAACTGTTAATTAGGCAGTGCAGTGCTACGCTGAGCGCCGTGCTGGGCTACGCTGGGAAAGGTATTCATGGCAGGCGAAGAAATGGAGAGATGATTAGCAGGAGAGTGCTTAATTGCCTTGGAATATATATGCTGTAAAACTTAAAAAACCCCAAACCCCAAACCAAACTAGTTTGCTATTTATTTCTTCATTAAAATAAAGCTGACAGGCAAACTGTGTATTTATACCAGTTTGAACATGAATAGATGTTCATCTAAGTTGATCCTTGCCATCAAGACCCTGGAATTTTACTCTTAATGAAAAGTGGGTTGCAGATACAGCTGTGACTGATCCTTTCAATAGGTGCATCTGTCCATAGCAATCTCATCAACTGGATAGATACCAACTTTATACCAAGAGTGTTAATTTAGCGGATGACTAGGCTGAGCTCTGTTAATACCGGGTCTCCAGGTCATCATGGCTGACATGTTGGCATGTTTACAGTTCTTGTGCTGTTGCTTCTCCTTTAGCTTCTGACTCTATATAAATTTTCCATTTTTGATCTGTAATTTCAGAACATCTACTGCAGAGTTGAAAAAGATGAGCTTTAAAGAAACAAAATTGTCTTTTGTTCATTGTTCCCGTGTGATGGATTTATATATAGCAGTGTAGTTAACTGGAAAAGGACAGTTCTATTTTCTGACAGTTTTACGTGTTCTTATATTCCTTTTTATTCCACTCTAGGATTAAAGCATTTCACTTTTAGTTTAGGAAAGGAAAAAGCCTCTTTGTTCAGGTTCGATACTTTTACTGCCACACATGAGATGTGTGCAGATTTTGTGCGTGCATTGACAAGAGGAATGTTTACTCCCGTTATTTCATCTGTATTGATCAGATTGCAGGGTGGGTTGTAGTATCCTTCAGTTGTTCAGCCTCTGTAACAACTTAAGAGATGAAAAAAAAAGAAAAAGCCACGCTATCAAATTAGCACAATTCTCTTCTGCTTTGTCTGTGATGGAATAAAAATTCAGGAACTCTTCACTTCTCTAAATATTAGTAGTCTCGGTGTCAGTTGGGAAAGTGTGCAAACGCTGATTAAAACCTGTTTTT